AGAAGAAGAAGAAGAAGAATCTGACACCGAAGATGAAAAAAAGGAAAAAATCCGTATGGCTATGGCTCTGCCTCAATGAGGAGGAGGAGGAGGAGGASAGGAAGAAGAAGAAGAGAGGAGGAGGAGGACAGGAAGAAGAAGAAGAAGAAGAAGAAGAAGAAGAAGAAGAAGAAGAAGAAGAAGAAGAAGAAGAAGAGGAGGAGGAGGAGGAGGAGGAGAAGAAATAGAAGAAGATGAAGAAGAAGAAGAAGAAGAATCTGATGAAAGATGAAAAAACAAAAACAAATCGCTCTGGCTCTGGCTCTGGCTCAACGGGGAGCGAAGCGGAGGAGGAGGAGAAGGAGAAGAAGAAGAGGACGAGGAGGAGGGAAAAAGATGAAGAAGAAGAGGACGAGAAGGAGAACAAGAAGAAGAGGAGGGAACAAGATGATGAGGACGAGCACAAGGAGGAGGATGCGATGAGGAGGAGGAGGAGAAGAAGAAGAAGAAGAACAGGAGGAGGAGAGAAGACGAAGAAGCAGAAGAAGAGGAGGAGGAGAGGGCGGCGTAAAAGAAAACCACGATGAAGAGGACGAGAAGAAGAAGAAGAAGAAGAACGTCAAGAAAAGAAAAAGAAAACAAAAAGAAACTGAACTGCCGGACCTACCTTCGTGGCTATGGGGGGCGGTTGCAACGAAGCGGGCTGGCGGGGCGAAGCAGCTGCAGGGCGATGTCGATGGCGGGCTGGAGATGGGGCGTTGGCGGTGGTTATGGTGTCGCAGCATATGAAGTCGAAGTGGATGCTGAATGGCGTGACGTCAATGTCGCGTGCTGCTGCACGGGACTGGGGCAGGCGGGGTGAAGGCAGGCGAAAGCAGGCCACGAGGAGATTTGAAAACGCGGCCGACTTCGGGCGCAGATCCGAAGATCCGCGGTCGAAATTGACTGCGTTTTCAAATTCGAAAACGGGGGCCGACCGTACCCCGTTCTCTTCAGAAAACTCGCAGCTGATCTCCACTGTTGATCTGCATCGATCGGCGGAAGAGATTGGCCGTTAGGTTTCTTAAGAAAACGGGGTCCGGTAGGCCCCGGTTTTCTTCCCAAGTGGTGGCAGCGGTCTCCCAGAGGCTGGGCGGGGATGGGGACGCCCGAAAATCCCCAGTACCCACCCCCCCAAACGCAGTGTGCCCGATTGAACCGGGGGCCTGCCGAGCTGGTGAACCGCCCGGTCTGACTGGCAGGGACCCGGTCGGTCGAAGGTCCCCCGGTCCATCCGGGGACCAGCACTGGAAAATTCAAAATTCTGAAAAAAATAATAATACTATGCGGATAAATAAGCGAAATCACTTTTTTTAATTTTAATTTTTATTTTTATTTTGTTTCATTCATGTAGTTCTATCATCTGGATTTCAACTTGGGTCTGCATTTCAGCAGTCCATGGGTTTGCCAACTGAGCTAGGCTCATTGATAAACTAAACCACTTTTGCCTCAGGGTCACATGGAAAATTCTTTTACCCAAAAAAAAAAAAAATAATAATAATAAGGGATAATTTGCAAAATATCCCCATAAGTTGGGATATATGCCAAAATGCCCCTAAAAGATGTGAGTAGAGTGGAATGCCTCTGACAAAAAAATATTTTGTGAAATACCCCTGGCATTGGTTGGACCCCCATCTTTGCAATATACCCCTACCTGGTACTGTCGAACTTTGCAAAATGCCTCAGTACTTCCCAACTTTTTCTGAGGGGCTATTGCAAAAGGCCAAGGCCCAAACGGGGAGGTCCAGATGGCAAAGTTGCACACCTGCCTGACAGGGTCACAACACGAAGGTTTCGGCCCAAAAGGGCATTCTGCTCTACCCACATCTTTCAGGTGCATTTTGGCATATATCTCAACTTATGAGGGTATTTTGCAAATTATTCCTAATAATAATAATAATAATAATAATAATAATAATAATAATAAATATATATATTTTAAACAGTGTCTCATATTCTGTAATTCAAGGAACGGGGCCGGGGACCCCACAATTCAACCCGGTACGATACTGACAGCATCAGCCAGCTTATAGCCCTACCAGGTCTTGGGCCACTCTGGTGGCCTAGAAAAAATCTGAAAAAAAAAGATGTTATGCAGAAAAACAAACTGAGTAAGTTTTTTCTTTTTTTTTCTTCAGAATGTATTATACAAACTGGAAAATGGGTCTGGCGTCCCTTACAACAGGAGCAGCCATCCGGCCACGGTCAAGGCTCTCTGGCCAGGTCCGGGTGCACTGCTTTCAATGTCCACGAATCCACTTCTCCGAATTCGCGCCAGAGCAGCATACCCAACCAAATATGTCGAAGTAGATTTAAGTAGTTGTCCCCCCCCCCCCCCCTGGCACACTCCCACCTACAACAGTCCCAGGGAGGCTAAAAAAAACCTGAAAACAACTGAGAATAGCTAAGCTAACTAAAAGAAAGAACCAAATTTCTGTACAAGACGTGAATAGCTTGAAGGAACACACTCAGCCCACGAAAAAAACAGGGGAAATAAAGCTGTAAGTCTGTCTCTTATACACATCTAGATGTGTATAAGAGACAGACCTACAACAGTCCCAGGGAGGCTAAAAAAAACCTGAAAACAACTGAGAATAGCTAAGCTAACTAAAAGAAAGAACCAAATTTCTGTACAAGACGTGAATAGCTTGAAGGAACACACTCAGCCCACGAAAAAAACAGGGGAAATAAAGCTGTAAGTACTCCACAGGTCGCTGACAAGCCCATAGGTGCACCGACCCGCAGACAGCCAGAACAAAGAAGACTGAAAGATGGTTTGAGCTTCGACGAGTTCGCTCCGCCACCAGCCTGCTGAAAGGGAGAAGGTGGTAAATTTGAGCTCAGGTCGATCAGAGGTGACTGCGACATAGTCACAAGCCCTGCAAGCCGAGAATCGCCAAGGGCTTCAGGAGAACAGCCGTTCTGCTGCACTTCCATTGTCCAGCCTGTGAGAGTATCTTGTTTCACGGTGTACTTCACCTCTGCTCGAACCATAAAGGAAGTAAACCATTCAGCCCATTGAACAGCAGCCAGATCGTCCAAAGGATAGTGACTCTCAAGATCTCCTCTGCTTGCGCCAATGGCGACTGATTTGGTGATCTTGATGCTACCGAGTCCAGTAGGGATGAAGTCGTCTGTCCAATGATCCAGCAGAAAGGGGACCGTGGCCGAAGCTCTCCACCATAACCAGTACTCCCTGGACAACCTGCAGGAGTGTAAGCAGAAATGTTCCAGATCTTCAATAAGCGTCCCCGAGCACAAAGCACAAGAGGAGAGGATCTAGAAGTTTGCCTCGCACACCAAGACGCCACTGGAAGGGCCTGATGTGCTACCAACCACCAAAGACTGGCTGTATAACCTCAGGCAAGTCCACAAGAGCTTCCAGTGTCTGGGAGAAAGGCTTGCACCAGCCGAGAGAAGGACACGAGAATCCAGCCAGATGCCACTCACCGTTTCACGTGCGTCCAGGAAATATCCACCGAAGGTTGGGAAAGCTGATAACCAAGTTTAGCAGGATGCTGGAAGCACTCTTTCTAGCTGTGGGAGAGGGTGAGATGACACCCAATCCCGAGGATCTACAGCCAGATCATAAGCGGCAGAAGTGCGCGAGAGCAAAATGGCGGCAGCGGGCCACATATTAACGAACACGCACAGGCAGCAACTCAGCAATTCAGAGCTACAGCAGAGGTGGCGCCTTAGGGTGCAGACGTGGGCCAAAGGAAAAAGGCCCTTCTTGGGGTTCCCAGCAAGAGGCGATGAGGTGAAGACTCGTCATCCTCTGCTTGTGCCAAAAACCTACAGTTGGAACCACCCCATCCCGCAAAACCACAATCCAATGCGGGGGAATGGCAGGTGCGCCTGCTGATGCTGCAGCCGCGCCAGCTGCGGCTGCAAATACGACAATAGAAAGGTATCTTCCTGAACAGGCTTCAAATCAACAGGCCACAGGATAATCAAGAGCAGCCAAAAGCTGCTGTGCCAAAGCATGGAATTGGGTTCGAATCAGGCGTCGAAAAGAAAGGGTTCTCCAAAAGGGGTTGGGTGAGGTGGCGTTCGGCAACCATGGGCGGAGGTTTCAGAGGCAGGCAACAATGAGCCCATTCTTTAAACCACCAGAGGCGGGCAACAATGGGCCATGCAAGGGCTGCGGCTCAACCCCCGGTAGCTGCAAAAAGGTCGGGAACGTTCTTCATTTCATGAGAAAGGGAAAGTGGAAACAAAGAACAGGAAAAAAAAAGAAAAATGAATGCGGGGAAATACAAGAATCATAAAAAA